ATGGTTGACCATATAAGGTTACATTTGGCATGGTTGACCATATAAGGTTACATTTGTTGACCAATCACATCTTTACACATGTTGTTGGCTGTTTTGTTACCTGGCAGGTATAGTGTCATTGGGTCATTGGGTGATATCGCAACAGTCTCAAACCTCAGTGGTGGGTCTTGGGGTCCAAATATGAATGTTAATTCAGAAATCCCTCATGTCTTTTTTGTTTGTTTGTTTGTTTTACAGAAATTTCTTTATAGGAAATAATTCTTTCTATAAAACAAAATTATTTCAACAGGGAAATATTGAAATAGGAGCGAATGTAGTTTTTTTCTAGTTTTCCAAGGACTTTCTGATGCATATTGTTTTGGTGAAATATATTGCAAAGCAATTTGGGGGTGGAATGGGGTGGGTTTTTTTTTTAATTATTGAACACTTTTTCTCTTCCATGGACAAAGACAATAAACACCTATCGGACCTTTGTAAGTACAGTATTACTTGCTGATTTAGAAATACTAGAAATGACTTTTACCTTTATCTTAAGTATTAATTTAACAAAAAATAAAATAATTTTAAATAATAATTTTAATTTGATTTAATTTTAAACATCCCTCTACAAGAAAGGATAAATGCAAGTAACAGGAAATTTAAAATTATTTAACATTATTTAATTTTAAATAAAATAATTTTAAATAATTTTAAATTTTCTGTTACTTGCATTTATCCTTTCTTGTAGAGGGATGTTTATAGCACACACGTACTCCAAAACCATAAAACAAAAGTCAACTCAAGAGAGAAAAGGGAAATTGAACCACTTCCCCACTTTCCAAATTTGAAGATTCTTCTTTCATAGAAACATTGCACATGAAACTTGCCTACATTGATTCCACAAAAAGGCAAAAAAATAAAATTAAATCCTACAACATTAATTTCTAGTTGTCAGCAATTACTTGAAAAAAAAATCTAGCTTTAATTCCCTGTATCTCTTATGGTTAGTAGTGACAGGGATGTTTAAAACTGGATGTCCTCATAATGTCCTGCAAAACAATGAGCATTCAGAAGATAGGAACTTGATTCTTCAGTAAACAAGGTGGATGCATATTCCCATCAACTTGTGTTATCAATCAACACTTCTGAGTTGGGTTGAGTTTTTAGCTTTGGCAATGTAGCTCCCTTTACTACCTTGTGCATGGCCATGTGCCCAAATTGAGCTCTGAAGGTATTACTGGCAAAACTACTTAGATAACTTTTAGGGCAGATGTCGTCTTCATTAAAACTGGGGTTTTCCATCAAGTAATCTGTAAGTAAAACAGCTAACCACTGGTAGGACATTTCTAACTACAGATCCATAACTTATTTGCCAACAACATACAAGCTACTTCTGGGCATAATTACAAACCAAATCTTTTTAAAAAGTTTTATTAAGGTTCATTGTAGCATAACATACAATTAAAATAAAGATTAAGAAAACGGAGGGGAGTGCATGACTAGAAAAAAAGAGAAAAAAAGATATTGCCTTCCAACTCTTTCCAACACAGTAAAATTCTAATATAGTTATGACTTCAATTATAGTTAATTACCTATAATTATTAGAAGCCAATTCTATTAATTTTCAGATAAAATGTTTAGTTTTTTTTCTATTTTAAGCATAAAACCCAGAAGCAATAGAATTCCCAGTAGAAACAAGACCAAATAAAATCTCTTTGTTTAAATAATTTACATTGCTATCTTAACAAAATCTTATTTTTTTATTTTTTCCTCCTGGGAAGTGATAAATATTTCTACTAATCTTTCTAAACTATCATTTATATTAACAAAACTCAATACATTCTTTCAAATTCATTAATCTTAAAGGGAAAACTATATATTATTTTTAAAACTCTAAACACTTCTCTAAAAATTTCATCTTTATAACTAAAATAAATTCTAATGCATCTTTTTAAACTTTCAATTAGAATAGAGTATATATTTTTAAATTCACTTTCAATAATATTTTGTAAAATTTAAGAATTACTCAAGCATTATATATTAAAAAAGAAAAAAGAATAACCCATTTTCAGTCCCATTTTATAAACAAATAATGCATTGAACTTTCTTTTAATTACCTGTATCAAACCAATAAAAAAGCCATCCTTACTTCAATTAGCTTATTAAATGTAAGTCACTCCTTCCAGTTCTTATGAGGTAAAATCTTTTTCCCCTTTTTTGGAATATCTATTAAATAAATATAAACTTCTCTTTTCTCCAAGAGATTTTTCAATATGATTTTTAAAACAAAATATGTCAACCTTGTCAATTTCCATTTCAGTGTTGAAGTGGAAATCCCAAACTCTTAAGAATCACAGTTTTTACTTGCAACTTTTCTTGTTTCAGTTGCACTGGGGGAGTTATAATTGTAATGAGCTTGTAATTAAATCATCTTCATAATAGGCACCGATTTATATTCCAAAATTAGAGTTAGGTTCTTTTTATTATCAAATACTAGTGTAGTAGCCTCAGTGGTTTTAGAATATATATATTTTATTGTTTGTAGCCTCAGTGGTTTGATAACCACCTATACTTGGTTGCATCTCTGGATTACGCATCTTTCTTCCAAATACTTAAGTAATTTGTTCCTTTTGCTCCTCTGTTATGACATTTTTCGAACATAGTTGATCTATAAAGTGAATTGTTTTGTTTAAATACTCCAAAATAATTTTTGTCTGTTTTTCTTATATTGCTTCATCTTCTTCTGTTCTTCAGTTCCCTCTTGTGGTCAAAGAAAAAACATATTTTAAAAAAGCTTTTTGAAGATGAACTGGTACCTCCTGGCCAATCAGTATCCATTAAAATTGGAAGATTTCAGCCTCCCACAACGAACAATTCAAAAGTGCAAATTATACCTCCCAACATCAAATAAAAGTGACAAATTCATGCAAATGAATATAGTAAATCACAACTTTTTCAATTTTTATGTTTCTCCATCAAAATAAGAGAGAAAAAAGTACTCCATGCTTCCTTATTTTAGCTTACCTCTTGTTGTTCAACAATAATGATCTCCCAGAAATGGTGCAGATCTTTAAAAAGATAAAATAGATTGTAACTGAAATAGTAAAGATAATAAGCAAAGTGTTTAAGAAGCGAAAGGCATGACTAATTGTCCATTCAAAAAAAAAATTCCAGAACAATTACTTTTTTAACAACAAAGTGGTTTCAGCCCCAATTCCCAGCTTATGGGTGACTTATCTGACTACTGGTTCAGTACTGGTTCAGAGTCTCCTTGCAAACTGCCACTTTATGGAGAATCTTGTGGTGGTGATTCATGGAGAAGAGAGTCATAAAACTTAGGAAACTCATATGTAAATTGAAAAAGCTTTGCTCAGTTGGACATCTTCATTGGAAGCCTTGCAATTCAAATCTACAGCTATTTGAAAAGAAATGATTTACTCTCTGTAGAAAAACAAGGATTCTGCTAAAATTTGAGAAGAATGAAGGAGTAATTATTGATCAACAAATTGATTTTAAAGAATTTGAGAAAAAGAACACCTTTCTTTATGGCTTGAATAGACTATTAAAAAGCATTTGATTCTGCTTTACATAGCTGGATTGAGAAATATCTCAAAATTTTTGGAGTTAGTACAATATTCAACAATATATGAATAATTCAAGGAAGTTTTGGTGATCAAAGTTGATCACTAATAGGGAAGAATTAAAAATTGATATTAAACGTGGAATTTTCCAAGGTGACTCATTATCACCTTTACTCTTTATGTATCAATGGCCCCACTGACAATAAGCTTGAACAAGACAAACTGGATATGAACTTCAAGAAAAGTTAGATCTGTTTGTTTCTAGCAGAATAATTTTTAAAATGCTGAATGTTAAAAGCATGTCATCAACACCAGAGATGGTATTCAGCAGGTTCTCGCCAGTTCTGGAGAACCGGTAGCAGAAAATTTGAGTAGTTCGGAGAACCGGCAAATCCCACCTCTGACTGGAGATTTTATAGTATCCTTCCCCTGTCACGCCCACAGAACTGGTAGTAAAAAAATTTGAATCCCACCACTGATCAACACACACACACACACACACACACACACACACACACACTCATTGTTTAAATAAGAAACTCAGGGTTGAATCGGTGAGGATTCCTGTCTTTTCATAATTTCTGTATAAGATGAGTTAAGCTGAGTGAATGTAGCTCAGTGAAATGTTATGACTTGCTAAAAATTTCATTCCAGGTTCTCCCCAGGCCTACATCATATTTTTTTGTGTGAGATGTAAATGTTTGTTTTGAGATTGTGTGTTAGGTGAACCGAGTCATTACATAAAATTTTGTATCTTTAAATAGTAACCAGTTATATTACATGATATATTCTTGCCATGAATTAATATGTTCTCTTTTGCTTTAGTTTTGACTGGAATGATGGTCTGTTTGATGTGACGTGGAGTGAAAACAATGAACATGTGCTGGTCACGTCTAGTGGAGATGGATCTTTACAAATCTGGGATACAGAAAAACCTGCAGGTCCTTTGCAGGTCTATAAAGAACACACTCAAGAGGTATAATTAAGTATTGTCCTTTTTCTCTAGAACAAGATAGACTCTTCAAAGAGGAATCCTTTGTTTAATCAATAAAACAGAAGTTGAAGTTTAAAAATACAAGAACCTTCTTTCACTTCTATGAACTGTGATTGAATAATCTCTCTGATTTGTCTTGCTATTGCTTTTGTTTATTTCTTGTTTATCTTTCCTTTATTAAAATGTTTTCTTAAAAAAGAATAAATACTACTGGAGAAAATTAATGACATTCTGAAAAACAAACAAGCAGAATTTCCTTTGGAAATTGCAATGTTCTGTCCAGCAGTATATTATCCTTACAAATCTTGCATCCCTGTTTGAATAGCAATTTTGAGATTGAGATCAATGGAAATGATTTTTGAGTATTATGTAACATAATGATTCTGTTCTATTGTGGAAAAATTGAAAGGTTTTTTTGTATTTTTTGTTTAAAGTATTACAGTAACTATAGAAACACTTCAAAAGGTTGTCTTATCTAGAAATTACACTATTTTTTCTTTTTCCAGAAAGATTGTGGTATTTTATATTGTATGAACTTCTGCCATATAAAATAATTTCATTATTATTGGCCCTCCTATACATAATTTTCGTACTCTGCAGAATTTACAGGTTTATCACTTTGTAGAACTATACTGATCCCCCCCGCCCCCAAGATTAATAAGAGAAGCTAACATAAAAATGTATTCATTGTCTTTGTAGCAAACTTAGAATCTTAAAATAGCCAAAATTTGAAGCAATCCAAGTATACCTTCTCTAGAGGTCTGCAAAATGTTTTGAGACCAATTGTTCTACCTTCATAATTTTCATAATTCTGAGGTGAGACTACTATTGGTGAGGTTTGAATAGTCTGTTTCTACATTGGAATATCTTTTGTCATTCTGTGATAGAAGTAGGGCATTTCAAAGTCTAGTTGAATTAGCCTCAAGCATTTCCTGAAGGTTTTCATATGGCATGTACACTCTTTATAGAAAGAGGGTAAGCCTAAAAGGGTAAGGAGGGTATTAGTGGTTGGGAGAAAAGGCTTTTGGGCAGGGTGATGTTTTTGAGTGAAGGGTTGGTTTTTGCTAGAGTCGACTAGAAGTTGCCCATCTTAGTGTTAAAGACACACACACACACACACACACACACACACATCTTTGAGTCAGTGTGATTCCTGACAATTGCCTGGAGAAGTCCCTTCAGGTTTCTTGTAAAGCTTTTCACAAGTAGACTGAAAGAGAATAATTGGCCCCAAATCATCCATCTGGTTTTAGTATCTGATGGGGGACTAGAAGTCACAATCTCCTGACTTCTAGACTGCAGGGCTGTACAAATCCTTTCAAAGGGCTGCTTCACAGGTATAATTGCAAAAGAAATTATTTAAATAATTAATGTATTTTTCCAGACATGAGTGGCTTCTTCGTCAGCTGCTTCCAATTGTTGTGGCATGGACAAAACACCTTATTTTGCACTGGAAAAGGCAGGGAAGGAACTTCTATGGCCATTTTGCCCACCTAATCAAAAGCAGGAGTTAGTTGATGCAGATAAACTTAAAATAAGCAGTATAAATATTTGGGATGGTTCCTCTCCTACAGTGACCATGTTAAACAGGAGTCACATATTCTACAGGAGTATTTTTTTGCAATCCCTCAGGGTTAGCACTTAACAAGAGGAGATTCGTAAGCAGTGAGTGCCATCAGGCTTTTGCTATATTAGTATTTTGAGATATATGTTCAGTTGCTGAAAATTAAATATTCTGACTCGTCTACAATGTTAGATGTTTTGTTTTATAGTAATAGTTTATTAATTGATTAGTCTTAAGACCATATCTAAGAAAATAAAATAAAGGTTAAAAAAACAGAATCTAGTCCCAGGGTAAAAGAGTATTGTTTTGTTTTGGGCAGCCCAGTTAATTGATAAATGGTCATCTAGTCTGACTATCCTTGGACGATAGCCCAGCACATAGTGTTTCAGTGTCAATCTTTGAATCATACATTTAAAAAGCTGACACACCATACTAGAGCTAATTGGATCCTGTTTGGAAGCCACATTTATCTTTTAGTAAATTTAAAAATAGTCCATGGCCTTGTGTAATTTTTCCATGCTACACCAATTGTAGATGAGTATCTGACCTGGGATATTTCCAGTGGTAACCTAGTTTTTATAACAGAGACTGTGGTTTTCTCCTGGAAATTATTATCTGATGAAGTACTAGAAAAATAGAAAAGAAATGTGCGAATTCAAGAATAGCTGGGCAGAAAATAAGAGTGAGCAGTATGTGGATCAATGCTTTTAAAAACTATAATTGAGGGAGTAGAAAGCAATAAAATAGATCCATTCTTCTGAGCAAAAAGAATTCTTGAAATATTATCGAAAACTACAGTTTTCAGTAGTTTTCAGTTGACTGGGTCTTAATTTTCTATCTTAGGAAGAAAAAGTGAAGGTAAAGATTACAGTTATTACAATGCAATAAATAAAAGGATGTACCAACCAGCACGCGCGCACACACACACACACACACACACACACACAGCCTACATAGGCACACAAACACTCACACATCTATGTATGTATATACAAATATATTTGAGTATAAATGTACATGCATGCATAAACAATTTTATGTCTCACCATCTCTGTTCCTTTATAAATTGTGGATTATTAATATGCATATTATTAAAAGAGAAATGTTTTATTTTTTGTTATTAGTTTTCATTTTTTCAGACTTGAACCTTGATATATAGTGTATCTTCTTCTTACACAGTATATCCAGTATATTCTTTCAGTAGTAAGACAGGAGATATGCTCTATTTAATGTTTATCTAATGTGTACTAGCAAGCAAAAGTGTATCTAATATTTACAGGTCTATAGTGTTGACTGGAGTCAAACCAGAGGAGATCAGTTAATAGTATCTGGATCATGGGATCAAACAGCAAAATTGGTATGTGTGTACTGCAGCTTACTTAAATTGCATATTCGTTTGACATTCTAAAATAATACTCTCAACATGATTTCTGTTCTTTTCTTTTTCCGATGATGACTTACCGGTACTTTCTTTTGTTTAAATTAATATTAGTTAAAAATAGACAATTAAAGTGAGAAATCTAGTTGTTTTTATCATTACAATATTTCATGAGTTAATTTGATCAAGTGGGATGCGTTGCAGGATGTATTTCTTTCCATAACAAAACTTCCAATTGATCAAGACTTGCATATGTGATTGGTCTTTAAATTATTAAACCAGGGAGGTTGATAGTTAAAAGTACAGGTAGCTCTTGACTTATGACTAGTTGCTGAGTGACCAATCTAAGTTATAATAGACTCTGAAAAAGCTACTTACAACCCAGATTTGAAGTTCCAGTGGTTACACACACAGACCCATCTTGTGTTTACATTTCTCAGTGTTTCCAGTCTGTTTATTTCTATTTCTTTCAGAGAGAGGGAGGGAGGGAGAGAGAGTTTTTAAAATGAAAAGCATCCCAGTTTTTAAAATGAAAAGCAAACCAAAGCAGCAGCTTATTTTCAGAAAGGCATAAATTAAAACTGTTTTATTAGTACACATTTTGGCAAATTTTAGATGCACATTTTTACACCAGGAAATAATTCTGTGGGAAAACAATATATTTGTTTCATGACAATAATTGCTTATACTTTGTTTGCTTGTTTAAAAAAATAAACTCAGTCTGATAATCTCCAAAATGGGAGCTATATTCTGAAAATAGATTTACCACTTATCCTTTATTTGTTTACATTTTGCCTAGTGGGATCCTGAAGTGGGACGACCACTGCGCACATTCAGAGGCCACGAAGGTGTCATTTATAGCACCATATGGTCTCCACATGTCCCTGGCTGCTTTGCCTCTACCTCAGGTAAATGCTGCAATTTCTATTTATTTGTAGTAGGAGCACTCCAATTACATTCAATTGTTCTAAAATTCTGTCCAGCAGATGGTGGTATATATTTAAATAGTGGAAGAAATAAAGAATGTGTAGGCTATAATTAAAGAGCAGGCTCAGTTGTTATCTTTTAACTACACATTCATGGCCCCTCTACATGGATCAGCAACTGCTTTAATCAAGTGAATCAATAGCAGTTTTTCATGCTGTCATTTCATCTCTGGCATTTTACTGCCTTGCCAACTTTCTTTCATCTTCCTAGCACTACAAAAAGTTATAAATTTCTGAATGGGTGTCTTTTATCCAATACCTTAATGTCTTTATGAACAGTGTTCAAGCCATTTCAGGGAAAATTGCCACCTTTGGTCTTGGATGGGGTGGCACTACCCCAAACAGACCCTGTGCGTAATCTAGGGGTTTTCCTGGACTCACGACTCCTGCTCAAAGAGCAGGTGGCATTCGTGGGCAGGAGGGCCTTTGCGCAATTGTGGGTTGTGCACCAATTACACCCTTTCCTGGACCATCGGTCCCTATTCACAGTCACTCATGCCTTAGTCACTTCCCGTCTTGATTATTGCAACACGCTCTATGTGGGGCTGCCCTTTGAAGAGCATCTGGAAGCTCTAGTTGGTGCAAAATGCAGCGGCCCACATGGTTTTGTGCAGACCCTGGTATGCACATGTGTTACCTCTCCGGCAGGAGCTGCATTGGTTGCCGATTTGCTTCCGGGTGCAATTCAAGGGCTGGTTGTCACCTTTAAAGCCCTTCATGGCTTGGGACCGGGTTATCTGAGAAAACCTCTCTTGCCAATCACATCTACCTGACCCATTAGAGTGGGGAAGCAGGGAATGTTGTGGGTCCCATCCCTGAGGAAGATACACCTGGTGGGACCCAGAAGAACGGCTTCCTCCCCCTGGTGGCTCTCTCTCTCTCTGGAATATCATTCCCCCAGAGATTAGAATGGCTCCCACTCTTTCGGAAAGCACTGTAGACCTAGTTTTGCCAGCGGGCCTGGGGAACCTAGAGCGGGATGGAGCCCATCAAATGGTTAGTGTGATCTGCTGTCGTCGGGGTGGTGGGGTGGGAGTTGGGGGGGTGATTTTTTTCAGATTTTGTTTTATTGTACTTTATTAATTTGATTCTTTTTGTTAGTTTTTATTGATTTTTATTTTTATTTTTTGTTTTAAGTATGGTTTTACATTGTGTAAGCCACTTCGAGTCTCCCTGGGAGAATAGGCGGCAATAATAAATAAACAAACAAACAAACAAACAAACAAACAAACAAACAAACAAACAAATAAGATTTCGTGAAAACCATAGCTCAGCCGTCCTTTTGGAGCATATTATCATACTTTAGGATTATGCCTTCGGATTTGAAGGCACAAAGATTATTTGGAACCTGTAGGTTTGTATGTGTAGCATTGGACTGTAGCTCCTGGAAGTAGAAGAGCTGCACATGAATTGGTCATACTGTGATTTGAACCATTTACCTAGCTATTTAGTCATAAATAAACATTGTTTATGATAATGTAGTAGTAGTAATACTGGATGCAGTGATTGCCATCCTAAACGCTTTTCAGGTGTTTGGATTGCAGTAGCCATAAATCACAGCATAATCGCCAGGTATTTGGAAGTTGTTCGCCAGGTTATTGACCTCTTCTATACAATGCTTTTGAGTGTAGGGGTTGGGTGTTAGGTGAGAATTGGGGACACAGAACTTCAAATTTATATTTTACTATAATTAGTTCTCATTTAGTGACGGTTCACAGTTATGATGGTGATGAAAACATAACCTTGCGACCAGCCCTTCCATTTACAACCTTTGCAGGTCTGTAAAGCAATGGAAAGTTGAACTCACATTTTCACTTAATGGCTACTTCAGGCAAACAACTGAGTTGCTGGTCCTAATTGTGGTCATTAAATGAGGACTTCCTGCACAGGAAAAATATTTCCCGTGGTTTTGGGTCAGTCACTATTAACACAACTTAAATTACTTAAACTAACTTAAACTACTTCAGCAGAACTATTGTTTAGAAAAGAAAATGGTAGAAATGGTGCAATTTAAAAATGCAATGAATATATTTAACAAATAAATTGAACTGCTGTGAGAGGTGTGTTTATCCCATTGCAAAAATGGTGAGGGCTGGATTCAGATTTGATTAAGTGGCTTGTTCTAGCTAGGCTTGGTTAATAAAGCAAAATATAAAACCATTGTTTTATCTTGCTTTAATTTCCTATGATTAAAGTTAATTTATAAACTAAAAGAGAAGGAGCTTGCTCTCCTCTTGCATAGAATAAAGAAAAAAAAGGAGGGGGAATACAAAAGCCTGAGGCTGAAGTGCTGGGCCTCTGAACTGCCTTTATTTATTCCCAACTAATGAATTAATCATTGTCAGCATGTTTAATTTTAAAATAATCAACAGGATTGTGTTTCGGAAAGATTTCAGTGTATATATGAGTGTTTTGTTTTTACAATTCAGCAGGTTGTAGAGCTTCTTTATGAGTGGAAGCAGAATAATAGCTCTGTCTCTGATTAGTAGCAGCATGATCATTTCTGTATTTTAAAAAGAGAGGTCAGTTGAGTGTTTCTTTCAAATGTAATGCCATTTAACACTTTGGTAATGCATCTACTTTGAGCATGATTGTTTGGAACCGAGTCTCATTGCTTTGGATCTTTTTGCTTGTTTCTTTGAAGTGCAGGCAATGTGCATATTGTTCTACTTCACAAGACACTATTTAGTTGGTCCCCCTGGCTCCTGATGAAAGCCATATCATGCCCACAATTGTTATGCGCAGCATTAAAAAACATTCTGTTTAACTGACCTTGTCTTCTGTATTAGTTTCCAAAGACAAGTCTTAATACAGCATCATTAGGAATTTTGAACAACTCTGGCACTTTACATGTAGTATGGGTACATGTAAAGGATAGTTAGCTGCTGCTTTTATGATAAGGATTTTGTACTGTTCATCGTCATAAGGTATTTGTATTGTTCAACAAATTAAACAAGTTACATTTTTTTACTTCTAGAAAACAAGCTATTGTCTAGAAAAGTCTTCCTAGTCACTTCCTAGTCTTCCTATCAGTTTTAATTTGCACCTTTTCAGCTAACCCCATTTCTAAATAATCCCATTGCTCTGTGAATTTTCCACTTATCATCTATTTATGCTCTAAAAACATTTAAGTTGGCTGAGATATCTATTGTGTGCATGAGTTGTTATGTATGATTAGATTTTACATGTATAAAATGGAAAAGTGCATATTTGTGTGTGTATTAGATATATATACACTTATATAATACAGACATGAAATATAACATAGTAATAATGATGAACAAATATCTATGTTACAGAAATTAAAATAATCTGAATATCTACAACAACATTAATAAGTAGGAGACAAAAATCTGCAATCATGCTCAGCTCAGGTGTGAAGGAAAAACTAAATGCTTTTTTGCCTGTGTTAGTTTGAACATTTTCATTTAAAAATTTGATTAGTAAAATAGTCATACACTGTACTATTTCTTCCTCGTTTGATAGCTTCATTAAGAAGAGAATATTTAAACAGGTGGATCTTTTTTTATTAATAGAAAACATCAGAAAAATAAAATTCAATACATTGGCAAATCTCATAAGTTTTAAAGACTTTTGCTGTTTTGTAACTTTGGTATTCCATGCCAATACTTATTGCAGTTGCCATAGGTTTTTTGGGAACAAGAGTGTGTTCAGATTGGCTGAGCTACAAAAGGCTTTTAAGGTTTTGCTGTACCTTGCAGTTACAGAGCTACAGTGACTGAATTAATAGAGCAACTCAGCTTTAACAAGTTTACTTTGAGAACGTTTTACTTTGATAAATATAGTAGGAAATGTCTTTTGAATTACAGGTTGTCCTTGACTTATGACCACAGTTGACCCCAAAATTTCCAGTGCTAAGTGGGGCAGTTGCTAAGTAGTTGCACCTCATTTTATGACCTTTTTGCCACAGTTGTTAAGTGAATCACTGCTATAGTTAAGTATGCAGTCATTAAGTTAAGTAATGCAGTCATTAAGCAAATCTGACTTCTCCCATTGACTTTGCTTATCGGAAGCTAGCTGGGAAGGTTCGTGATCACATGACCCAGGGACAGTACAGCTATCATGAATACATGCCAGTTGCCAAGCGCCTCAGTTTTGATCATGTGACCATGGAGACTCTGCAACAATCATAACTTGAAATCCAGTCATAAGTCACTTTTTTCAGTGCTGTTGTAACTTTGAACAGCCACAAAACAAATGGTGAGTAATGTTGAGTAATGTAAGTCAGTAATGTTGAGCCCTGGTGACTGACTGAACAAATTCCTGCAGTTTTCTTGGCATATTTGTAGCTTACTAAGGCTAAGAGAGAGAAACTTGCTCATGCCTAATACAGGGCCAGAGCACACAATCTCCTGGTTTCTAAACTGGTGCCTAGTTGTCATATAGTAGTATACTCTGGTTATAATGTTGCTCAGAAAGAAAATTCCCCGAAGATTTGTAGATGTGCTGTAATGAGCCATTTCAACAGTGAATAATTTTTAACAGATATTGTCTATCAGCTCAGTTAATTTATAGAATAAATAAATTGGACTAGAAGGGAATATAAAAGAGATTAATTATTTCCTTAGTGCTGATTGGTAAGTGTTGGAAAAGCACAATATACTTTTTTTTTGTCTTTGCACTGTTTTTTAAAAAAAGAAATGAGGCTTCTAGTCTGAAACTGAGATATCTGATAGGAACTTATCTGGTCACTAATGTTGACAGTGGCTAGAATCCAGGGAGCTACTTAAGCCATGCCTAAGGGCTTGGGAATGCCAAGACAAATCTTTGTTTTTAAGTAAACATGTTAACATGTAATAAATCTGTGTAAGATCTAAAACTTAAAAAAACAACAACCAAAAAACCACAAGAATAAAGTCCTATGGTTCTTGAGATTCCAACCCACTCATATATTCTTAGCT